TTTTTTTTTTTTTTTTTTTTTTTTTTTTTTTTTTTTTTTTTTTTTTTTGTAGCCTTTAGGTCTTTAATCTTATTGTTTTAGTTGTATTCTTTGGTTTCTTTTCGAGTTCGTTCGGTTTGTTGTGGATCTCGATCAGGCTTTGTTAGCAATGGATTACCGCAAGAGAGGGAAGTCCGAAGTTGGTTTAAATGCCAATGCCGGCTTCAAAAAGTCCAAGCAAGGTTTGTTCCTCCTTTCCTTGCTCGTTTACTTCGCATTTCGAGTACTTTTTGAAGTTCTGTATTACGTTGTGTTGTTTCCGTGAAAATTTATGTATCGTGGAGATAGCAGTCTTTTCAAGTTTAGGTTCGAAGTTGAGCACTAGGAAATCGATGGCGGACATTTGAATTTCGCATATTTTGTTATCTCTGGTGGTGGTTTTTTTTTTTTTTAACATTGACCAACTTTTAAATGCCTAACTGAAGAAGTTTGTATAACTTTGGAAGCCACCCCACCTGATTGAGGTCACCTGATTATGTCTATATAGAGACATCAAAATCTTATATGAGCATATTAAATCTTAAGAAGTTAATCCTTGGTTAAGAGTTCATTAACTGTTTGACATTTTAGAGTACTTACATTAGAATCTAGGACAAGGGACTGAGAAAACCGTAATAAATTTTTTGTAACAGAATTGGAGTACTTATCAACTGGTGTAGCAAGCAAATCAAAGCCATGCACCAAATTTTACAGGTTCAAATCTTCACTCATCTAAATAATTACTTAGAAACTTTTCTTATCCTTATCTGAATCTTTATAAATTTTTGTTAGTAATTCATTTTACGAGACCCAGTTCAATAATCTTGCTCAATGAAATAGGCAAATTGCATACAGATTAAATCTATGGTCCTGTCTAACTATTAACAAATTTTCTTTTTAAGCAATTAAGATTTAACTACTTTCTAGAGTATGGTTCTGTGATGGTATATTCTACGTGAACTGTGAAATGATGATAGCTTCTTCAGCTTATGCTGGATTAGTACAATTTTTCTTGTACATCTTTTTGGTAAATCTATGTCAAGATGTTGTCACAAATACTTGGTTAGCAGGATTTCCGTCGTGATTTTTATGTCAAGAGTGTTATGGCTAGTGCTTTGGGAGGTGTTAATTGCTAAAACATCTAAAGTGGCACTTTTTAATTGTACCTATATGTGTGTATCCTTTCAAATTTATTGGAATCAGTTTCTCAAACCGTGTACTGAGACATTGAATGAATATTCTTCTCTCTTTTCTAAATTATTCTTGATAAACCCAGCTTGTGATATTTGAGAATCTCTGTTTTCATATCTTTTGTGTTTCATTCTTAGTGTTTTTTATTTGATGTGGATGGACTTGAAGAAATTTCTGCCCTGTTTTGATCGAGTAGATTTATTTTGAATGTGAAGCTAAACCTTGGAAATGTGTTTTGTAGACCTCTCATTTGCATTCTTTTGTGGAATTGATGTCAAAGGCTATCAATTTGCAAAGAAGATCAATGTTTTCAATGTTAATGCCTTTCATTCTGATATTTTCCATTGTGGTTTCAGCACTACGGGCTGCCAATTTGGTGAAGGATGCCATTTCCTGCATTATGTTCCTGGCGGTTACAATGCTGTCGCGCAAATGATGAACCTAGAACCTGCTCCTCCAGCACCTAGAAGTATAGCAGCGCCCCATCCATTGTCCAATGGCTCAACCACACAGGATGCTAAAACTCGTATGTGCAACAAGTATAACTCTGCTGAAGGCTGCAAATTTGGTGACAAGTGTCATTTTGCTCATGGAGAATGGGAACTTGGAAGGCCTTCAGCTCCATCTCACGAAGATCCTCGGGACACAGGATACTTTCCAAGCCGTTTACCTAGTAGGATGAACGCAGCTCCAGCAGGCCCCGCAGCCAGCTTTGGTGCCTCAGCCACGGCAAAGATCAGTGTTGATGCTTCCCTTGCTGGAGCCATTATAGGGAAGGGTGGTGTAAATTCCAAGCAGATTTGTCGTCAAACAGGAGCCAAACTTTCCATCAGGGATCATGAATCAGATCCCAACCTCAGAAACATTGAACTTGAGGGGACATTTGATCAGATTAAAGAAGCAAGTGCAATGGTGAGGGATCTAATCGCGACAGTTTCGATGGCAGGCCCTCCAAAAGCAGCTACCAGAGCAACGGGCGGCCCGGCTGCTACGGCAGGTAGCAATTATAAGACAAAACTTTGTGATAATTTTGGGAAAGGGTCTTGCACATTTGGAGAGAGATGCCACTTTGCGCATGGTTCTGCCGAGCTGCGCAAATCTGGTGCGTGAAGAAATCCGTTTTTCTTGTATTATTAGATTAGAAAGATGGAGCTGTGTGTCTCTGTTCTTGAATTATGTATCAAGAGGGCAATGCAACTGTGTGGAAATTGACAGTTTTTATGGTTTGGAGAAGTCGACTACAGTTTTGTTGGTCCCATCCTTTCCTCCCTTTAGCCGATTTCCTTGCATGCTTTACATTTTGCCATTGGATTTACATGTCGTGTCGCTTAAACACATGGTCAATTGCATTTACATGTCGACGCCGGTTCTAGCGGTTGAACCCCTGAGCCCTGTAGCAGCCTGCCTCCCGGACGCGTGTTCTGCACGTGCCTGCTGCTTGTCCAGCTCAGCCTCGTGAATCCTCTCCTCTTTCCTTTCCCTAGCCACGTCCTTCTCCACTGGATTCTGCGCCCGTATTCTGTCCACCTGCCACATGCACGCATGCGTGGAAATGCAATTCTTATTAATGTTCCTAAATTTACTTTTAATCTAGTTTAAATGAGCTGTACACAACCACGTGGCTCAACCTTTACGATGCCACATATCAAGCACTCATCAGCAAACAATAAAATAATTTTATATGGAAAATAATGATCCGGTCCGGTTTGGTCATGTTTTGTTCTTTTATTACGACGTAGTGGATTTGAGAGATGTGTGGCAATTGGGATCAGGGAATGCTCCACCTATTGGTTCATGGTCTGAATAACCCAACTCGAACCGGTTGGGTTCGAGTTTTTGGTTAAGTTTTCATTTCCTTGTCCCCGTAATTAGGTGCGTTTACACTTAATTTTATATATGCCTCCCTATTTAATCCGTTTTATTTATTCATTAATTAATACCTCGTTAATTTTTTTATATTTATCTAAACAAATAAAAATATATGTTTGGGACAAAACAAGATAATAACAATAATTAAAAAAAAAAAAAAAAAGTTACTTGATAGAGATGGCAAATTCATTTAAAGTGGACATATAAAGGTTTGTTTTGGAAATGAGTGAAATCGGGTTGCCTAAATTTTAAATAACAAATTAATTTAATGTAACGTATTAAAATTAAATTAAATAGAAGGTCTCAAGTCAAATTTGTGTCGGAAATATTAAAAAAAAATGTTGGGATAATTAATGGAATTTCAGGCAATATTTTGTCAAGTTATTTATTACTCCCAAATGTGGAGAGATATTTACAATTTTTTTTTTATTTAATTCCTCTAACTAAATTTAAATTCTTTTTAAAGATTCGAAAAAAAGAAAAAAGAAAAAAGAAAAAAGAAAAGAAAATTCACATGGCGTAAAATTCGAGCCGGAGATATTTTCGATCCCCCAGATACAATCTTCACCGTCAAACCGTCACAAGCAAGACACTTCCCAATTGGACGGTGGAGATCGTTGGGTATTTCCGTTCACAGGCAATGGCAGAGACGAAATAGCCAACGAAAGATAAGAAACCAATGATAGGACGACACGTAAGCACAAGTTGGGAGTAGCCGGGCCCACAGACATAGTGCCATTTTTTTGCTTAAATACCAGTCGCTCATTTTCCCCGGAAGTGCCTCCGAGGAATTCAGAGAGATTTAAAAAAAAAATAAGGCTCCCTGCCGGCTATTTGAAGGCGGCGCCAAAGTTCTCTAGAGAGAGAGAGAGAGAGAGAGATTGCGAGAGCGGAGAGTGCGAGGCTCTCTGAAACTTCGGTCCTCTTCTTCTTCCTCTCTTTCAGGTATTGTTCCCCTTGCCATTCTGTTTCATAATTTTTCTTTGATTTTCCATGCTCTTTCTCTTCTTTTGTTTTCTGTCAATGTGAGTGCCGTTTTTGTAGGTTTTTTCCATTAATGTGCGTTGTAATGCGTAGATCTGGGTTAAGATTTAGATTATTGTTCATTGAGGTGTCGTATGGTTTTTATTTTACACTGAACAGAGATTATGGTGTCTGCTGTGCTTAGATAGATAGTTTTTTAGTCTCTCACAGAGATTGTGCTCAGGGATGAAAAGGACGCTGAGATTTATGACTGA